TTATTTTTTTTTTTTTTTTTTTTTTTTGTTATTCATACTTTAAAAACGAATATTCTTGTTTTATAATACTGAAAATAGGACATTAAAAACAAAACAAATCTTAATAACTTTTTCTAAAGTGTAATTAACTTTATTTAAGTAACAGAAAATAAATTTAAATATTACAATTAAAATTAAGGTAAATAAATAAAGTATATATAATATTAAAAAAAGGAAAAAAAAAGTCTTCTTATAGATATCATATATTAACTAGGAATGATATTTACCATAATAAAAATTAATTATATTTTTTACAATATAACAAAAAAAAACAAAAATTTCTCCTATTTAAACTACGTATTTAATCCATAAAAAATATTTAAAACTATTTAGAATAACATTTCTTTATATTGCTTATTATTTTCGATACTTATTATAAATATAATTTACCATTGGATTAATGTGTTCTATTTAAAGAGCATAAATAAATGAAATACAAAAGAATATGTCTATACTTCATATAGGTCCTTCTTTTTTAAAAAAAAATTAAAATAAAAATATCGCATCAATAAGAAAATGAAATTTTAGATTTTGATATAAATTAAGATTATTTTTAAAGGTAACTTTTCAGTGTAAGATAACGCATCAATTTTTATTACTACAAAAAATTTGAAAGCACATATAAATTACTTAATTATATTGTTTATTCAAAACTTGTCCCATAAGCATATATTTCTCAATAAAAAAAAATTTTAATTATTATTCATTCATAATAGCTCATCTTAACTTTAAGTTTGCAATAAATTATAATTTATTTTATAGTATATTTTAGATAGATAAATGCATAATAAAATTACTTATATTTAAAATTATGTTATTTTGTATTGTGTTGAGCAAAAAACCTATTACTTATATTTCATAGCTAAAATGTTATTACATATGTATTCCCCTTATATTCCCACTAAAAAGGTTATATAATGTCTTAATTTAATAAAAAAAATGAATATATTACCACATATTTTTTTTTTTTTTTTTTTTTTAAATAATTTTTAACTTAACGTATAGTTAATCATAATATATTTTTTATAAATAATATAAGTGGTTCAAACATTAATTTAATCTTAAAAATTATACCATTTTCTTCGTATATTATAATATATTTCTGTATTCTTTTATAATGAAAAGTTATTCAAAATTATTTTGAAGATTAAAATATTTTCATGTCGACAAATCTCATTTGTAAGTTTGTATTTAAAATTTTTAAATTATTTCATTGGGTAAAGTTCATATTAAAAAAGAAAGATTTATTTTAATAAAAAAAGAATTATGTATAATAATGTAAAAGTAAATCTGAATTTTAAAGTTAAATAAACTTGAAAAAATGTTAAAAAAAGAAAAGAAGTTTTTTAAATTTACTATTATTATATATTTACATATATATAAAGATATATTCATATTATCTTAATTTCAATTACATTATCAGTTGTATACATTTCAATTAAGTTTGTAATAAAATCATAAATAGTTACCCTCATTATTATTCAAAATGATAGCAATATTATAAATTAAAGGATTTTAATTTTTTTTTTTTTTTTTTTTCCTTTCATAAAATATTGTTTAATTTAAAATAATTGTTATTATTTGTGTATTTAATTTGATTTTATGAATAGTACACATTTTAGAAAAATTATTTCAATTATGTAAAATGCTGATATGTTTCCTACGAATATTTCAATCATTTTTAAGATTTTTATAATTATAAAAGCTATTTTTATATTTAATCTAAAGTATAAACACAATAATCCACAATAATATTAACAATTTATATTTTGCTAATAAGATCAGTGGGAGAAAACGAATTATTTAAAAAAATGATTAGAATTTATAATATATTTTAAAATTTATATTTAATAATCCTTAATTTTAATTTATGGAGACAAAAATATAGCTAATTTTTCACTATTTATATGAACAAATAAAATGTTAATTTGTTAGATAAAGGGAAAAAATTAAAATGCAAGAATTACTTTTGTATTTAAAAAAAAAAAATTATACTTATGTAAAATTTAAAATATAAGAAGAAAAAGTTATTTTAAAAATACAGTTAGCTTTTTTTCTTCACATTATACTTAAAATTGCAAATTATAATTATTTTTATGTTAAAAAATATTTTAAAGAATTATTATAAAAGATTTATCGTTGCTAAGAGAGAACAAGAACAATGATTATTCTAAATATGCAAAGTAACAATATCCAATAATCTTCCATTCAGATATATGTATGATTTCCATATAAAATATGCTAAATAAGGAAAATTTTTTAACTTTTAATTTTTGTAATTCTATGGTAATGTATTTTGCAAGAATGATTATTCTATATTAAAAAAGGTATTACTTAATTTCCTTTATAAGTACAAAAGAAGATAAAGTTATTTTATAACATAGTAGTATAATGCTAACAATCCAAATTCAGTACATTCATAGATTTTGTTTTATTTTTTATTCATTCACAATCCTTTATAACTCAAATAATTATAAAAACACATATCTTTATACTCCATAATCATAAAAAATTTTATTCCCTATTATTACTTCATACTTTTGTTTAAATTGTGTAATACCTATATTTTAAGATTTTTCATCACACAAAATGCGCATATTACCATAAAAAAATTAACTTAATAAGATTTTGTATCCAGATTGTTTAAAGTGTAAAGATTATATATTAAAGAAATATTCAACATAATTCTTTAAAACCATGCATATACATCACTTTTTTTTGCTACGATTTCGTAAAAATATATCAAATGTAGGTTCTAATCTAGTAAACACATTATTGGTGATAGGATTCAATTCATCTACTGAAAGTATTAATCCTCTATCTGTTGCAGCACTTTTAACAGCATTAACTACTATTTTATTATTATAAATCATTAAATGTTTTTGTTTATCATCTGACTTATGAAATCGTTTTAATAATTCTTCATGTGCTGCTTTCTCAATATTCAATAATACATTAACATTGCGGTTATTATTCAAAAAACTAAGAAATTTATTCTTTAGAGATAAATTAACATCATTAATTAGGCGTTTTTGTACGTCTTTTTCTAATGAAACATTTTTATCCAGTGATAACTTTCCAATAATATTTCTTATATAATCGTCATTGTTAATTATATTTATTTTTTCATTGTCATTTAAATTGTCAAACTCATTCTTAATTTTATTTATTACTATCTCCTTAAAATTTTCATATTCCAAATCTTTTTTTTTGTCATTTTCATGTTTTATTTCTTCATCATGATCAGGAAAATCTAACATACGTCCTCTTCTGTTTGACCCCTTTTTGTACATGTAAAATCCTATTCCTATTGCTGCAGCAGCAGCTGCTAGACTTATACCTAAGCAGATAGATAATATTTTCTTTTTTTTTTTTTTTTTTATTTCATAATTATTTTTATTTAAATAACTGTAATTTTTCGATGAAATCTGGTTTGCATATAAGCATATTTTTAATAAATTGAAAACCAAAAAAAAGCTAAGAAAAAAAAGTATTTTTGAGACTCTCATTTGTCCTAAAAAGTTATGTAATTTTACAGATACTATTTTAAAGAATAATAATGAATTAAATGGTAAAATAAAGTGTTTTATACTTTATAAATAAAAATAATTTTAAGATTGTTTTTGGATATTTTTCAGGTATTTATAAGTTTTATATATTTTTATTTTCTTCAACATATTTTTCATTTTGCATGCATGTTCGAAAACATAAAATATTAATTCTTTACAATATTTTTAACAAATAAAAACATTTACAAAGTTTGCGGTTGATTACGTAATTTTTTTATGGTTACATTCCAGATAAAGATTGATAATGAAAAATAAGTAACAAAATTATAGTTACATAATCATCCTAATCAAAATTGAGTACTCATTGTTAATAATAAAAACCGTAATTTTTTATTATATTTTTTATCTTATTTTAAACAAAAATAGTTCTAGTAAGAAAAAATTTAAATAAAATATTTTTATATTAATATAAATTGAATATATTTTAGCTAAAAATAAATTTCACAAAAACCTTAAGTTAAACGAAATAACTAATTATTTATTAAATAAATCAAACAAAAATATTTATAAAGTATCTTTTCATTAAAAAAAAATATATTACAAATAAAATGGTATGTAATATTATAAATCATTTTTACAATAAGAAAAATATATTCTATTTTCATTAATTCTTTTTAAAAATAGAGAAGAAAAAATTAATATATTTTTATATATTATTTTTTAATAAGTTAATGTACCTATTGAGATTAAATAAATAAAACTTACATAATCTTTTTTTTTCGTATTGAAAAAAAATACTAAAATATCTCTAAGATAAAAATAATTACTTCTTTAAACAGCATATTTTTTACTATTGGAAAAAACATAAAAAAAAAATTTATATATATATTATTTATATAAATTTTATATACTTATAAACCTTCTTGAAATATAAAAATGTTTGAATTTGTTGTTAATAAAAATATCACCTTCACCTTTTATTATATAAAATTAATATTTGACACATAATGACTTATATATTATATTCATCAAATAAATACTATCATAATTAATTGCTAATATTTACACGAAAATTAATTAAAATTATTATATAAGGATTACTTAAAATTTTTTTTTTTTTCCTATGGTTTTAGAATTAAATATTAACATATATAATATGTATTTCCTTTAAAAATTTATTTTTGAAAAAAATTTATGTCAAGTGTACAATTTAATTAAAAATAAAAATAAAAAAAAAATGTACTTACTTAAATGCTTTTTTTTCTACTTTTAAATAATTATTTTTATAATTATCCATAGAATCAGGTATTAATTTTATTGAATTAAGCATTTATTTATTTACTTAATCTTTAGAAATATTCTTTTATTTTAACAAAAACAACATTATAATTCTTTTTTTTTTTTAATTTAAAAAATTAGACTTAACCGTTATAAACAATAAATTTAACATTTTTTATTTTATTTTTCAAACTTTACAATTTTATTTATTGAATTTAACAAATTAACAAAAATTTACTTAAAGAAAAAAAGAACAATTCTAAAAAGTACTTAATAATACATATTTGGGTAAAGAAAAATTAGAAGTTATATGATTTAAAGAACCTTCTTTTTATGAAGTAACTTAATTATAAGTATTTTACAACAATATTTAACAATATTTCCCTATCATATTATTTACATTACCCTATTAATAGAATATTATTTTTTATATACTATGACTTTATTTATGTAATAATGTTTCTATTTTTAGAGATTTAAGAAGATTATAGTAAAAATAAATATTGTTTTATTATTTATGTATTTTCTAACTTATCCTTTTTGTTGTTTTAATAACAAATGTTCTCTTATTGAAATTAGTATAACCACATACCCATTGTAACGTATGTCGTCCTTATTTCTGTTTTTATTTTTTTATTTTTTTATTTTATTTTTATTCATTTTATAAACTTTTAAACGTTGATTTATTACATTTACTCTTATATGTAATATGTTTACCTAAATATTTCATATTTCTATATTTTATAAAACTATTTCAATATTTAAAAATTCTTCCATATTTCGTTAAAAAAAATATAATCTAGAACATTAATACTAATCTAGTAAATTTTACGTGTTTAAAAAAAAAAATAAAATTCATTAAAATTAATCCTTTAAAAAATTTCAATAATAAAGATTAAAAAGTTTTTAAATAAGAACAATTAGTAGGAAATAATATATATATATATATATAATACTTAATGAAATAATTTAACAAAAAAAAAAAAAAAAAAAAGTATATTGATGAAAAAAATACTTTCATGAATTCTATTTATATTTTTATAGAATTTTTTTTTTTTATTCATGATTGCATTTTTCAATAACTTTACATAACTGAGATAACATAAAAATAAATACTTTTTACAATAGCATTTTATTCACATATTTTTATACTCATAGATATATTAACATAAATCATAAAAAGTTAAACTTTTAATCTAAAATTTAATAAATTATTTATTGTAAATAATTGTAGGATATTCAAAAAATAATATCACAAAAAAAACTAATTCTTAAAAAGAAATATACCTTTTTTTTTTTTTTTTTTTTTTTTTNGTAAATGTCTTTTCCTCAATTTAACAATTTCTAGCTATATGAAATAAACTTTAACTAAATTCTACCACTGAACACTTTGCACGTATTGCTAATGTTATTTATCTTTGACACAATAAACTTATCTATCTAAAAATGTTAAAATTTTTCATTATTAGCTATACACCGCTACGTAGGAAAAAGTTAAAAGATATTCTTTTATTTATAATATTTCCATGAATCTTTTTATGATATGAAAACATTTCTATATATCCATATATAGTTTTTTATTATTATTCACGTATAAATGATAAAATTACATTTTCTTAAAATACTAAATAACTCTTAGGACTCTCTAAAATATTTCTTATTTTAATAGATAAATATTTGATCATATAAAGGAGAATATGAATTTCTTTAACTCTATAATTTAAAGAAATAATCTTTAAAATTTTACGTACAACTTCAATTTATCTTTTAATTAGAGACAGGAAAGATATATTTTGTGTGCATTCATTATAATACTTCATTTTTTTTCATGTACAAATGTCTTGTTGGTCATTATATTATCAACTTATTATTAATATTAATAATTAAATTCATTTTAATTTAATTTAATTATTCATGAGACTTTTACTACTAGCTTCTTAAATAGATGATTCTTATTTTAGGATAGTTTTTAAGTAATAATTTTTAAAACTCTAAAAAAATAAAGTCATTTATAAATAGAGGTATATGATGTTTTTCCTATGGAATCATTAAATATTCTATTCAAATTTAACACTATTTTGTACTTTTAAAAAGTATATCTATTTTCTCAAGGATAATCTTATTCATATAATCAAAACTTTCATGAAAAATCTCATTAGTATCATTTCCATAAAGATAGTACTTACTAATATAATAGATCTTTGTTAGGACTTATTTTCTTATAATCCTTTAATTTCTTTATTCGAATGAATTTTATCATTGTTTGTTAAAATTTTTCTTGAATGTATATTTTCTTCAAAATGGAAATCTCACCAATAGCGTTTCAAGGAATTTCTTAGTTACAAGTTAGTAAAATAGTTATTAGCTCTATTAAAGATTGTAAAAATATATTAAACATTTCAAGATAATATATACATGCACATTTCTTATGTTTCAATTCAGTAAACAGTTAACTATTTAAGAAATATCACAATTATAAAAAATTCGTTTTTTTTTAATGGGTAAATATATATTTTTGTCTTGCACCTTTTATTTATCTATTAATGAATTTAGTAATAAATTATATTATTTATATTTTTATTATGCATATATATAAAGTTTTTTTATTAAGCTATTCCAACACTTTTTATTATAATTCAAATGTGAAAGACATTTAATTGTTAATGATCAACTCTTAGATTCATTATAAAATTCATTCTGTAGACTTTGATAAGCCATTTACATTTTTTGGCATTTAAAACAAGAAATGATCAATCTATGTATTCATGAAATATTTATCTATACACCAAGTATAGGTTTATTGTGTTTGTTGAACATAATATTAACAAAAGTTTGTACTATTCTTGATAATTAAGTGTAAATTTTTTATCATGATTAGCTTGACAAACTAATAAATTTAGAATATTTTTCAGTATCAAGAATTCAATTGAGAAATCAAAAAGAATGTTTTATTTTCTTTAATATTTTGTTTACCTTATAGTCTCTTATGAATTTACTTTTATGAAAGTAATATATTAAATGATTCCTATACATTTATGATACATGTAATCCTTTTGTCTTATAATGAAAAGATAAACTATTTTTCGTTGCTATATATTCTTGTATAATAGATTTATCTTCTAAAAATGTATCGGAAACTCTCTAGAAATATCAAAATGTATGCAAAATTTTCATATCTATATAGAAATTTAGCATAGAATATTTTTATACAACTAGGAAAAAATGTTATCCATAAATTTATTAATTTCCAATTCAAAGAATTTTGTAGAGTATTGAAAAAATAAATTAATAAAGATCATAGAGATTGATCTCTTCTAATTTTTTTTATTGTAAAAATATTTATTGTAATCATCAGAAAAACTTTATTTAATAACATTATATAACACGAATATATATATATTATTTCATGTAAATTTTATAATTATTCAGATAAAAGCATGTCAACTCGATATTTCTATTTTCCTAAGAACACTAATTTTTAGGATATTTAAAAAGTTTTAAAAATTTTTCCACTTATTTTCTTTAAGACTTAAATAATATATATATATATATATATATTATAATATATTAATATTATCTTTCATAAAAATTAATTCTTGCTTCTTAAAAAAATTATATTTTTCATTATTCATTGATTAACTGTTTAAAAAGAATTGATCAACCAAAGAATTACAAAAAATCCTTCTTTTTTCTTAGTATATCTAATCCAGAATAATGTCTTT